ACTAACTACCCGTTGAACTCCCCGCAAGAACAAAAACGATGTCAAGCAGAACGAACTCAGATCAATGAATGTTAACAAGGCAAAATTACATGCACTTATAGGTGAAAAGAGGTGCATATGTAAGTGATTTTACCTTCAATTTTTACTTGCAAAGGTGCACCAACTACTTGCACATATAACACATTTACATGCACCAAAGTTTGAGTTATTTATAAAAATGCCACCGCGTCATTTTTTAAAATTTACATCTAATTCGTTGATCTGGACACGTGGATGGCGCTGATCTATTCGCATTTCTTTCCTGAGCGCTTATTCGCATAGGAGTGCGACCATATATATATATATATATATATATATATATATATATATATATATATATATTTTGTAACAATGTCAACTGTTAAAAATAAAGAGTGATATACACCAAAAAAATTTCTTAGCAAAGGACATATTTACAATCAATTCAACATTATAAAATTTGAAGGCGTATTATGGATAAAACTTTTTCATGTGTAATATATTTCGTTGTACTATTGTTTGTATTGAATTTAGTACGAATGAATGATGGAGACAACCTTATCAGTGTAGATAAATATTTTAACATATTACTGTTACACATATTTTGACATGTTTCGACTTATGATATTTTTTTTTTCATAACGTAAGTTTTTTTCAATTTCATCAAATTATATCATATATCCATAACTATGATACTTAATATCAAAATGTACACATCTGTACACAAGGAACCCGTTCCAAACTTAAATCTATCGACAAAAGTAAGTTTTAAATGAACTTTTTCATTCACTATACTATACTAATGCCTTCGAAGCATTTCGACTTATATATGAAATTTTAAGGGACTGAATATGAGTATATTTATTTATAGGTTTGTTGGAATTTTTTTTTTCTTGTGATAAATATATTCACACTTTTAAATTTAAAAATTTTGCATTACTAAATTTACTCTTCAATATACACAAAATTAGACTCAACTTTATTTAATGTTTCATGATAGACCGGTCAATACGATTGTAGATAGTCTTTTATTACCCATCAGATTATACAATCGAAAAATTGTTTTAAAAAAATTAAATTTAGTATTAAACAATCAAAATTAAAATAATCAAATATAAAAAATACTAATCACAATATACAAATGTTTGTATTTTTATTTTCTACCTATAACCAGTTTCTTTATATATGTGTGCATTGGTAGAGGGGATGATGAACATGTGGGCCACACCACCTGAGCCAATATCTGGAGCTGATAAGGTATGGGGGCCCACAACTCCTGTTACCCAGCCCATATCCGTGTTAAGGAGCTTCACTCCATAATAATATTTTTTATTTAATTTTTAATCAGTACATGATGTTAGCCATTGATTCAATGTGACAGAAGGGATCACAACAATCAATTTGAGAAAAGAAGTTTTATTTCTGGGCAATCCATTCCTCCAACAATGTTGCAAATAGTACTGTTACATTCCCTATGTTATAGGTCACATATAGGCCCTCTATTAATAAGATTCTAATAAATTGCGAGTCGCGTAATCAGCTCATTAGTTAGATTTTAGTTTTTATGAGCACATAAGGTATATTTTGGTGAATTGGTAGTGGTGCAATCAATCTACTAGTCAGATCTTAATTTTTATATGTGAATAAGGGATCCATTCTAACCCCCACACTACTGCCCCCTGTCATGATATTTAAGTCAGTCAACTCCCACACTATTGCCTCCCGTCATGACCTTTAAGTCAGCCAACTCCCACACTACTGCCTCCCGTCATGACTTTTAAGTCAGGCAACTAAAAGTATATATATATATATATATATATATATATATATTGAATACTATTGACTCTGTTACAATGCAGTATCTGTTCATAATTACTTTCTCAACCTACTGAAGCACAAAGAGTCAATATCATCCTCACTGAGCTCAAACCCATGACCTACCATATGGAAGAGCTATTTTGTGTCACTAGACCTCAAGGTTATTGACAAACCAGATGGTTATATTGCTTGAATATAAAGTATTTTATAAAAGTAGTAAATACCTAGCTAACAAGAAATAGGTTGATTTAAAGTCAAATATTTACAAGATTCAATGTCTCATCTAACTAAGTAATAACGAATCAAAGCTAATAATAAGCGAGGGAAAGGGAAAGGGAAAGGGAAAGTGCCAGGTGATTTTGATTTTAAATTTATTATATTTTTATAACATAAATTATTTTTTGAGTAAATTTTTTTTACCATTAGTTATGTACTAGATATATTTAAAAGAACATATATGTAAGAACGAGACACGTGAATCTGCAAAAGGTTACATGTGAATTGTCTATCATGTTGAGTTTAAACGCTTAAATAACGAAATTTTGAGTTGAAATGAGAATATATATATATATATATATATATATATATATATATATATATATGGGTTACCATGCAAAAAAGGAAGATCAAATTTACAAGGTGAAATTGTGAAAATAATTAAAGATGCTAAAGAATTAACTCCACAAACCATATATTAATTTGTGTAAATTAAATGGAAAAATCAAATGATATTCAGTCTCTTGCCTTCTCCAAACCTTAAAACCGGCAGGCATACTAATCACACAAGAAAATTAAGGGGAAAAAAAAAGAATAAAAATCAGAGGGAATTAAGCAAGAAAGAAAGAAAGAAAGAAAAGAAAAGAAAAAGAAACAAAAAGAAACAGAAATTTGAGAGAAAATAATTAATCAAACCTCACGTGTGTGTTTAAACATCCAAACTACACAACATAAGTGGAGGGATTGATGAATTGCTTCATGAATTCCGATGAATATCGTCTCATGACTCGGTGAATGTTAACTTGTGGTGTCGTGCCGATCATCCCCGCCGTGGTGTGAATGAGAGCCACTGGCCTGAGATTCAGATACTCCGCCGCCGCCGCCGGAGCGATGATACGGGTTTAGCCCGGCGAACATGCCTAACTGCCCTTCTCCCATCCCATTTCCGCCGCCACCGCCGCCAATATTGGTGCCGAGTTGCTGACTAGGCAGCAGCGCCACCGGCGTGGGAAAATTCATAAAATGCAACCCACTGGACATCGTGCCTCTATACAACGCCGCGGCGGCAGCGGCGGCGTTGTTACTAACGGACGGAAACGTCCATATTGGATCGCCGGCGGCCCCGCCCATGACGGGGTTTGTTGAATTGGTTACCATCCAGAAATTGGCCGGCACGGAAGCGTGGCTCGCCGGCATCGTCCCTGCACTGGACTGCAGGAGATAACTCCCCATTTGGTGTTGTAAATCTTGCTCCGACCGCCGCTTCCGGCTTATGCTCTCTTCCTCCGCCGTCGTCGGCTCCGTCAAATCGATCGAATTGTCGCGCAGCTCCGGCTTGGCGGCGGCGGCGGCAGCCGAGAGCTGCATACTAGGGTTATTGATATTGATATTCGCCCCCTGGAAATTCAGCAGCGTGGTGGCGGAGCTGTCCGCCGGCGACAACCCGATTCCGGCCGGGAAGAGGCTCCGCCGCTGCGAGAGCGAGAAGTTAGGGTTGAAATACTGAGATCGTAGCTGAGACGGCACGGACATGCTCGACCCGGAGCTCCGCAAGGAAATATTAAGCGACGTGAAATTGGCGGGAATCGTGCCGGTCCCGGTGGCGGCTATCACAGCCGGCTCGGCCTGCTGGAGCAGCCACTCGATGGTCTCCCCGTCGGACTTGTGGCCGAGCTCGCGGGTGAGCTGGAAAACCCTGGCGGCGCAGAGCGCCGGCATGCGGATGCGCCGCCCCCGCCCGTCCACCTTCGTGTGCCGGTCCTTCGTCGACGTCCGCTTCGGCGGCGGCTTCTTCGACGGCTCCGCCAAAGCAGCGGAGTCGGAGACGGCGGCGGAGGCGGAGGTGGATCGAGCTGCAGCGGCGTTAGGGTTTGCGCTGGTATCCAGGGAGGAAGAGATTGCGAGAGAAGGATAAGGGACGATGGCGGTGGCGGAGGAAGAGCTGCTGGAGCATGCTTCGTCTTCTTTCTTCTCAAGCAATTGGAACGGAAAAGTTGGCCGGCGATTATGGTGGTGGTGGTGGAGATGATCATCACCTCCTCGTTCCATGATCACATGCGTGACTGAATAATAGATATATAAATCTATCTAAACATACACTACTGAAAAACCTTTCTATTTCTCTTTCTCTTTTCTCTCTCAATATTTTTTTTATATTTTTTATTTTAAAGATAGAAACAGCGACAAAACCTTATTAAATTCTTGTGGGCTCTCTCACTCTCTCTCCCTCTCTGGAGAATGAAATTATTTCCTTAGTTGCGTTTAGCTTCTCTCTCTAAGCTATATTGTGGTTGGTTCATTATATTTGATGTATGTGTTGGAGAGAGAAAGAGAGAGAGAGAGAGAGAGGATAAGGGAAGAGGGAAAGCTTTAAGCAACAAAGATAATGAGTGGGAATTATTCATAGGGGATGAGAGCTTTAGAAAGCTAAAATTTTTAACAAAGGGGAAAAAGAAAATATATGCTTTTGTTGGCCTCTTTTCTATCTGTCTTTTGACAAATATTGATTGGAATGCGTCAAAAAGAGAGGGAGAAAATTAAATAAATAAATAAATATTGTGTGTTGTGGTTTTGATTTTGATTTTGATTTTGATTTTGATGTTTCCCTTTGCTTTTTCCATTTTTGTTATTTTTATTCAGGATATATATATATATATATATATATATATATATATATATATATATATATATATATGTGAGTGCGTTCAAGTGCGAACAGTGCTTCCCATGCGATCATTCATCATTAGTGTCGGGTTTGTATTAGGTAACTCGAAATGAATTAAGTTCCATTCTAGCTACTAATAGTTAACCGGCAAATTATATTGCGGACCAGGGTCAACTTTGTATGGTTGATATTGATTCAAAATGACATCATTTTATATTAAAGGTCAATTAGTACATTATACTCCCTCCATCTCATTTTATGTGTCGGGTTCGGTTAACGAGACTTGATTGAAGTTATTTACAGTTTAATTTTTCATAATATTAAGTTTAGAATCCTTTCAAAAAAAAAAGTTTAGAATTAGTATGTAAAATTTATATATTTAGAAACTACATTAAAAGTATTGTTAAACATAAAAAAAAATTAAATTTAAAAATGATAAGAAAATGTTAATAGAAATAAGCAAAGAAAAAAGAGTTAGTTTGACCAATGAATAATAAGTAGGTGGGGATAAAATGAGACATATTGAGTATTTAATAACATTGTCATATACTATGTTCATAATATTTGCGGTTTCATCCTATTAGTAAAGTGCTTTTATTCCTGACAGATTAATTACTGATAATATTTTGGTAGCTGCTGAGATTGGTCATTATCTGAATAGGAAACAATGTGGGGTGGTTGGATGGGGAGCTCTCAAATAGATATGGCTAAAGCTTATGACCGTATGGAGTGATCTTTTCTTCATAATATGTTGTTAGCTTTGGGTTTTGCAGAGGGATGGGTGAAGTTGATTATGAATTGTATTACTACTGTTTCCTATAACTTTCTGATAAATGGTGAGAATATTGGTCAGGTTGTCCCTACTCGGGGACTTAGATAGCTGAGCCCCTTTCTCCATATCTGATCTGTTCATAACCTGTGCAGAGGGGCTCTCTTTGTTATTACAGCAGGCTGAGGCACATGGTTCTTTTCATGGGTGTAGGGTGGTTAGAGGGGCGCCACCTATTTCTCATTTGTTTTTCGCAGATGATAGTCTCTTGTTTTATTAAGGCTAATGGCCAGGGAAGCATGAGTTATTAAACAGTGTCTCAAATCCTATGAAGATATGTCAGGGCAGGTGGTAAATTTCCATAAGTCTAGTGTATGTTTCAGTAGAAATTAAACACGTTGCTAGAGGCTAGGGATGAAGTAGCGTTAGTTTTGGGGGTTCCCCAGGCTCCCAATTTTGGGAAATATTTTGGGTTACCTTCCTTTGTAGGCAGAAACAAAAGGCAGCCTTTGCTTAGATCGAGGATAAGATTAGACAGAGAGTGGGTTCCTGGAACAAGAAGTTGCTCTCGCAGGCTAGTAAGGAAGTGCTCTTGAAAAGTGTGGCACATGCTATGCCCACTTTCTCTATGAGTGTTTTCTTATTGTCTGAGTCTGTATGCTTGGGTATTGAAAGGGCTATGAATCGTTACTGGTGGGGCTCAGGGAATGAAAGAAGGATCCATTGTAAGTCATGTAATCGGTTATGTGTTCTTAAGAAGTATGGTGGTTTGGGGTTCAAAGATCTAAGGACTTTTAATTTAACTATGCTAGGAAAGCAGGTCTGGCGCTTCCCACTACCTTTATTGATGCTACTATGGGAAACTGCCCGAGCTTCTGTTGGCGGAGTATTATGGCAGCTCATGAGTTGGTTTGCAGTGGAATAAGGCGAAGAATAGGAGATAGTTAGTCAACTCTCATATGGGGTCACCCTTGGATTCCTGATGAACCTGGTCCTATGGTTCCAATGCCTATTCAGTTACGTCGGGCCCTAGTTTCAGGCCTGATTGATCAGGGTACGAATTCCTGGGACCAAGAAATTCTTGTTGACATTTTTATTCCTAGTGTTGTGGTTCGTATGGCTAGAGTTCCTATTAGTCCTGATTATGAGGACACTTGGTATTGGCAAGATGACCCAGGGGGTCATTATAGCGTGAAAAGTGGATATAGACGCATGGTTGGTGACTTTGTTGGCGGCCCCCGGGACTTTGACAATTAGTTAGCTTTGTGGAAAATAAAAGCGCCCCTCCCCCTCCACCCAAGTGGAGGAATTTTATGTGGAGAGTACTTTCTGATATTTTTCCTACTACTACTAACTTGCTTATAATGAGAGTGAATGTAGATCCCTCATGCCCTATGTGTGGGCTTGATCATGAAAGCTCCATGAACGCACTCATCACTAGTGATTTTTCAAAGCTTGTTTGGCATGGATCATGCATTCTTATCTCTAATGTGGTTGGAAATACTTTTCCCATGTGGTTTAGAAATGCTATGTTGGTTCTCACGGAGGAAGATCTTGTTGCAGCTATAGCAATCTTGTACCACGTCTGGAAAGCGTGGAACACGGCAGTATGGGATGGATTTCTCCCATTACCGAAGAAGGTGTGGTTCTCGACCAAGATGGCGGTCAACGCATGGCGGTAGATCCATTCCCGTGGCAATGCAGCTGCTCCTTCTTAAGCCGAAATTCAGCCTGCTGTACGGGAAGGGGTGGCCATATGTTTCTTCAATGCGGGCTTCCGACCGTCGACCAAGAAGGCTTCCGTGGGGCTGTGCTTCTCTCACCGGACAGCGGCTTCTCGGCGGCCTTCAGTGGAATGCTCCCAGATTGTTTCTCACCCCTCATGGATGAGTCTCTCGCTTGCAAGGAGGTACTTTCTTGGCTCAAGGATCGCAACGTTTCGTCTGTGGAGCTCCTCACAGATTGCTCCAATCTCTAGCACTACTTATCGTCTAACCACGTTGATCTTTTGTCTTATGTTGGTTTTACTATTGATGCTTGTTAGACTATTATGTCGTCGTTTAGCCGTTGCTTTGTTAGTTTAATTCCTAGAACTAGTAATCGAGGTGCTCATACCCTCGCTTCTGCAACTTTTTCTCAGTCTTGCACTTTGTACTGGGACTCCGTTCCCCCTGACTCTATTTCTGGTTTGCTATAATATTTCTACCGTTTGGTTGGCTTTAAAAAAAATGTTCATAATATTTGCTCTATACATATGTCTATAAGTCCAAACATTAATGTCCATAAACACTAAAATAAATGTACATCATATGTATTTTCATTCACTCTATATTAGATTTATAATGTTGCTTATATATGTTCATAAAAAAACAAAGTTTACTGTACATAAATATTATATTACAAAAATATATATTATGTTTAATAGCACTCATCATATCTAAACATTAATATCCATAAACACTAAACGGAACGTACATCATATGTATTTCTATTCACTCTATAGTAGGTTTATAATGTTCATTCTATATGATGTTAAAAAAAAAAAAAAACAAAGCTTAATATACATAAACATTATACTATAAACACATCATGTTTAATAAAATTCATCTTGTACTATGTTCATAATATTTGTTTTAGAGTGACACTCCTGTGAGACCATCTCACGAATCCTTTTTTTGTGAGACTGATCGTGCCAAGATGGAAATATAATACTTATATTGAAAAATGTAATACTAATTAGGAAAAAAATGTTTGTTACTTATAAGGAAAACGTAAAATACTTTTGATGAAAAATATAATACTTTTAAATCAAAATGTAAAAGTATTACATTTTTTCTTTAAAAGTATAGTATTATACTTTCTCTTATAAGTATCAAACACTTTATTCCTGATTAATATTACATTTTCCAGTATAAGTATCATATTTTTATCCTGACCAAACTCGTCTCATAGACAAGCTAAGGATTCATGAGAGTCTCACACAAATGTGTTCCCTTATTTTATATGTATGTCCATAACCCTAAACCTTAATGTCCATGAATATTAAACTAAATGTTCATCATGTGCATTTTATTCATTATTTTATAGTAGGTCCATAATATTATTTTTATAGGTTCATATATACTAAAATAATGACTCTATGTACATATAGATTTATTTTTATAAAAAAATTTATGTCAATATAAGTGTCATTTAAAATATCCCATCCAATTTGAACTTTTTAATGATATACTTTTTATATATTCGTTTTATTTGTACAAAAAGAAAAAGATAAAAATAAATTTAAGTTGAAAAATAAGCATTGGCTTGGAGTACACTAAATAATAAAAATCTTTGCCCATTCCACTACCAAAACAAAAAATCTTTAATTTCTTTAGTTAGACTTATTACATTTATCAATATCTAATTAAATATAAATTTGGCCAAGCCAAGCTAAACACCCAAAATCTTGACCCGATCCATCCCACCGTTGAAAAAATATAATTTTTCAATTTTTATAGTTCAAAATTATTATATTTATCAATTTATATATTTATTTTTATTATAATAAGTTATAAGTTATATGTTAAAAATTATTTATTTACATCTTTTTATAATAATAATAATAATAATAATAATAATAATAATAATAATAATAATAATAATAATAATAATAATAATAATAATAATAATAATTCTTGTAACTATTATCTAATTTTATTTTAATATAAATAATATTCAGTAATAATTATCATTATAAAATAAAGGAAAAGTGGTCAAATAGGCCATAGAACTTTTACTTAAAAAGTCAATTAGGCCCCTAAACTTTTTAAAGTAGTAATTAAACTCATCAATATTTTATATTGGTGTAATGAAACCCAAAAAATAATCTGTCATAGCATGTCCCTAGAGTTTTGACAACCCTCCAGCAAAACTCTAACGCCATTACCAATTAAAAAGTGACTGGCGACCCAAATGGGTTGCCTTCTTCAATGGAAA